TGTAAGTGCCATCATTTACTGTTACGCCTCACCCGGGGGTCAGTGTATATAGACCTGTATCGTGAGCTGAATGGAGGAATAATACCCATTTCAATCAATTCCCATTTCCACTGCACGTTACCTGCAGCTCAGATTCCATTTCTGTACATCGGTGCAGTTGTCATTGTGCATATGTGCTCCTGGGTTTAATTATTATATAAAGAAATAAATAGTTTAATTACTATACTGATTGATAAATATATCTTCAGATGATAAAGTGAATTTGTCAGCACCTGCTCAGAGACCATTATCTCGTTCCAACGATGCAGTTAATGTCAGTACAATTCCCAAATGTAACAGCTTCAGAAAGCTTATTTGTATTCCACTATAAACACAACCAATATAGTGGAAGAGGAAGTAGTTACCTAGTTGTGTGGAGTGCAGTATTAAAACACCTCTGGATTAACAAATAAGACCTTCCCCTTTGTTCTGAACATGCCACCATTTATTTTACCTGGTATGGAATCCTCAATAAATCCTGCCATTAAGGTCTTATAGAGACACAGAGAACCAAGTTCCATGCAGTACATGCAGCTTATAATTATCAGCTTATCTAATATTGTAAACAACTTTAATTGTGAAAAAGCTGAAAGAAACTTCATAAAACATATAAAAACTTTTGAAGATGGAGTTCATGCAGAATCATATCATGGGATTTTGCTTGGTTTTAGGTTCTCAAACCCAAAAAGCTGATTATAGGTAAATAATCCTGTGATATTTTCATTATTATCATAGTCAAACAGTTATGTAAGTAATATATACAGTCAGTATGGCATTATTTGGATTCATGTTAATAATTTAGATTCATGAAAAGTTTATTTATGTGAATTATATATATTTTAACAGAAGAATACATGTGTACAGACACACGTATGTTCTTGTGAGGTACAGAACCTAAAGGCTTTAATTACAACCTTTAGCAGCTATTGTGATCATTGTGGCACCAGGAGTACCTGTGGTTGGAAATGAGTTAATTACTGCAATTATTTGATGGTAGCTGAGACGTGGGGATAAAAGCGTGCTACATTCCGTCCACAGTAATTATCGGACGGGGACTCGACCATGCTCATGACATCTACTGATGCACCAGCAGCATGTCGTCCAGCTGATAGTAAAGTTTAGAAAAGATAAAACCAGCAAATGTCAAAGCTATAGACGATGGGCCCCAGAGGAGACTCACCATCATCTTATTGCTGTCAGTGTTCACGAGTTGTGGCCATTTTGAACTATTTTGATTACCGATTCGTCAGTCCTCTGAGAATATCATTCCATCAGATGTGAGGATGGTTTATGCTTATCGCCAAGATTACTGTCATTGTCCATGGGATAGTAAAATGGTTGAGAGATTAAATACACATTTATTTTATCTTGATAGTATCAAAATAGGATATTTGGAGACATAATTCACATTTTGTCTTGTTGGAAAGTCTGAATTTCACAATATACAAGGAAACTTTGACACTTTTTTCTTAACAAAACATCGTCATGTGACATCAGCAAATATTGTCATGGTGATGATGTCTCTGTCAACATGAAATACAATTTGATAGCACCATAAGAAACAATATTACTTTCCTAAAGACTGGCAACTTTGATACATTTATTGTCAATTAAGGGAAGATTTGCTTTTTCACCAGAAAGAATCTTGTAACTTGATTTTAGATGTTGCTATTGCATATCCAGTTTCTAGTAAACTGACCTCATACATTGCTATGTATTTCCAGTTTCTTGTAGTGAATGAGTGAGTATGGTTTTACACCACTTTTAGCAATATTCCAGCAATGTCATAGTTGGGGACAGCAAACATGGGCTTCACACATTGTACCCATGCGGGGAATCGAACCTGGGCCTTCAGGGTGAAGAGAGAGCACTGTTACCACTAGGCTAAGTTTCTTGTAACTTCACCTTGTATGCTCCCATTGTGTGTTCATCATACAGACTGTGACACTGAGATTTAAAATTATGTCTTATCTCTGTGCAGCATTTTCACAAAATATTTTTCTTTCCTTTTGTATTTGATTCTGTTGGACATGTAATCTTCTAGGATTTCTGTGAGTCTTTGTGCAGTGAGACTTTACAATAGTGTTGAGCTCCATTCAGCACTGACACTGAAGGTGGCCACACACAGCAGGCTTGGGAAACATCATTACTACATGGAGAGTAATTATCTCATTAAAGAAAACTGAGCCACTTACAGTGCTTCAGATTATCTGCCAAGTGTGAATGCTGTATGGATTCTATCGCAATGTTTTCCAGTCCTACAATCATGCAATATGCCAGCAATATCAGATCAGCTGTAGCCAGTGATTGAGTTCATGTCAGGAATGCATTTATTCCAAAGTATTTTTTTTCCCTAAACGAAACTGTTGGGAAGTTTCAGATGTTGATTATCAACTTCAGTTGCAAAATGTTGATATGTGCTTCATACATTATTCAAACATGTGTGGAAGCATGTATTTGGGGAGTAGAATCAGACACACGGTGCCTGAAGGACTGTAGCCTTCAGAGACATGGAGGAACTTGACATTTGAGCTACATCCTCCGCCAACTGTGATGTCGCAGTGTCAACAGGCCCCCGTGTTTTTGTCTCCTCAATGTTATGACGTCACAGTAGGCCACAGCTAAAACTTGTAAGCTTCATTTGATTTTCTCTACAGTGGACTCATTAGATATGTCGCAAGGTATCTGCCTCAAGCTGATCCCTGGTGGGTTTTTTAGGATAATGTAATGAGCCAAGAGTTCAGGGAATCAAGCAACACCTCATGCAGCTGAAAGTGACATCTGGTGATCTATGGATGGTTGTACCAGTACATTCCCTATGTTTTAAGTCTATAGTTGAGCAAGGCTGGCCGTGTCGTATATGTCAAATAGGGGACATTAAATCTAGGGCCTTCTCCACATCTTTATTGTATATTTAATTTGTTTTCTGAACAGGTTATGTAATCATATTGATCCTGTCTGTACATTATGTACATTAGGCCTAGCACAACCTGTGTTAACTGCTGATATGGCAGATCAGGTACCATGGAATACACGTAACAATTACCGGAACCCTCAGTACACAATGCTGGTGTCATAGTTGTAGTATTGGTGTTTTGAACTATTGAAATACTATTGATATAGTGAAAGTGCCGTCCACAGTCACTTCAGCAGTTTGGACCCTTACAATCGACAGTCTGGTACTAATCTGTGAGGACCCATATATTGCTTTTTATATCATCTGTCCATGGGCTCTGTTTTTATAATACCATCTCTATGGACCTGTTTGTTGGGTCTAATACAATCCTCTATGGACCCTTTTGTTAGGTCTAATATCATCATCTATGGATCCTTTTGTTAGATATAATAGCTATGGATCCTGCCATTAGGTCAAATATCATTTCCCATGTTTGGTATAATACCATCCTGTATGGACCCTTGTTTGGAATAATATCATCTTCTATGGACCCTTGTTTGATATAATATCATCTTCTATGGACCCTTGTTTGGTATAATACCATCCTCTATGGACCCTTGTTTGGTATAATACCATCCTCTATGGACCTTTGTTTGGTATAATATCATCCTCTATTGACCCATTTTGGAGGTCTAATACCATCCTCTATGGACCTTTGTTTGGTATAATACCATCCTCTATGGACCCTTGTTTGGTATAATACCATCCTCTATGGACCTTTGTTTGGTATAATATCATCCTCTATTGACCCATTTTGGAGGTCTAATACCATCCTCTATGGACCCTTGTTTGGTATAATACCATCCTCTATGGACCCTTGTTTGGTATAATACCATCCTCTATGGACCCTTGTTTGGTATAATACCATCCTCTATTGACCCTTGTTTGGTATAATACCATCCTCTATGGACCCTTGTTTGGTATAATACCATCCTCTATGGACCCTTGTTTGGTATAATACCATCCTCTATGGACCCTTGTTTGGTATAATACCATCCTCTATGGACCCTTGTTTGGTATAATACCATCCTCTATGGACCCTTGTTTGGTATAATACCATCCTCTATAGACCCTTATTTGGTATATAACTATTCTCTATGACCCATTTTGGGGGTCTAATACCATCCTCTATGGACCTTTGTTGGTATAATACCATCCTCTATTGACCTTTGTTTGGGGTATAATACCATCCTCTATGGACCTTTGTTTGGTATAATATCATCCTCTATGGACCCATTTTGGAGGTATAATACCATCCTATGGACCCTATAATACCATCCTCTATGGACCCTTGTTTGGTTTAATACCATCCTATCTATGGACTATTCTCTATGACCCATTTGATCTATAATGGACCTTTGTTGGTATACCATCCTCGATTGACCCATTGTTTTATTCTAATACCATCCTCTATGGACCCTTGTTTGGTATAATACCACCCTCTATGGACCCTTGTTTGGTATAATACCATCCTCTATCGACCTTTGTTTGGTATAACACCATCCTCGATAGACCCTTATAATACCATCCTCCATATTGTTTGGTACAATTCTCTGTGGACCTTATTTGGTATAATACGATCCTCTATGGACCCTTGTTTGGGTATATTTATTACCATTCTCTATGGACCTTATTTGGTATAATACCATCCTCTATGGACCCTTGTTGGTATAATACCATCCTCTATTGACCCATTTTTGGTATATTACATATTCTCTGTGGACCTTATTTGGTATATAACTATAATGACCCATTTTGATCCTCTATGGACTATTTTGTTGGGCCTAATACCATCCTCTCTATGGACCCTTTGGTATAATACCATCCTCTATGGACCCTATCATCTTCTATGGACCTTTTGTTTGTTATGAAACCTTTATGTTGGATCATATTGCAGCCGAGGTAAGTCAACCAACATTCCAATGGTCAGGTCAAATCCTGATAGTAATGGTTGTGTGCCATAATACCACTTCCTTCTTACTAACGGTTGTGTTTTCTGTTTCAGCTTCATGATGGTGCTCATCTGCCTCATCTTCAGTGTCTTATCTACCATAGACCAATACTCAACATTTGCAAATGAGACATTGTTTTGGATGGTGAGTATGTCTCCTGTGTGTGTTCCTGTGTGAGTGCCAACCTTGTGTACCAGTTGTGTGTCCAACACCCATGTCTAACACTACTAGTGCTACAACTTACTATATGTGTTGTTACCATTAGACCAGTAGAGATTTAGTTGTTATGGTTTGACAAGAACAGCACCATTGTTGGGTTAGAATTGTCACACGAGACATGTATTTGATTAACTTGCTTATGCCACACATGGCATCATCCCCTCCACACTTGAACACCTGTCTGTCCTGTTTTTTCCTGCACACAGCTCCCACTAACGTAATTAACAGTTCTACTAACTCATCCAAACCATGCTGTTACACACCACCAAACAGTATATCCAACATAAGCTGACCAAACTGGCTGCATCTATCAATCCCATCAAGATCAACTTGATTCCAGTCACCAGCTCCCCTCAACTCCACCTGACTCAACTACTGATCTAACAAGTTCCTGCCCATTGCCATCACCCCACCACCCCTTCATACTAGCACCACCCCCACTAACCAGCTCCACCTATCAAACATGATCAACCCTTCTAACATGATCCATCCCCACTAACCAGCTCCACCTATCAAACATGATCAACCCTTCTAACATGATCCATCCCCACTAACAAGCTCCACCCATCAAACATGATCAACCCTTCTAACATGATCCATCCCCACTAACCAGCTCCACCGATCAAACATGATCAACCCTTCTAACATGATCCATCCCAACTAACCAGCTCCACCCATCAAACATGATCAACCCTTCTAACATGATCCATCCCCACTAACCAGCTCCACCTATCAAACATGATCAACCCTTCTAACATGATCCATCCCCACTAACCAGCTCCACCCATCAAACATGATCAACCCTTCTAACTTGATCCATCCCCACTAACCAGCTCCACCCATCAAACATGATCAACCCTTCTAACATGATCCATCCCCACTAACCAGCTCCACCCATCAAACATGATCAACCCTTCTAACTTGATCCAACACAACTACCAAGCTCCACCCATAAAACATGATCAACCCTTCTAGCAGTCCATCCCCACTAACCAGCTCCACCCACAAAACTTGATCCATCCCCACTAACCAGCTCCACCCTCAAACAGGCACCATCCTTTTAACTAGCTCCACCCTCATTAAGACAGCTTCACTCCTCATACAGGCTTTTCTCCTCAAAATAGCATCATTATACAGCTCCAACCCTTTAAAACCCCTCCAGCCATTTTACCATCACCCCTTTATATGAACTCTAAGCAATTCTACCATCACCTGTCTTACCCAGCTCTTCCCTATACTTTCACCCCTCTACCCAATTGTGTCACTCTTAAAGCCAGTTCTATGCAACTCTACCGTCACACCTTTAAGCCAGCACTACCAACTCTACCGTCACTCCTTTATGCCAGTTCTATACAACTCTACCATCACACCTTTAAGCCAGCACTACCAACTCTACCATCATTCCTTTAAGCCAGCACTACCAACTCTACCATCACTCCTTTATGCCAGTTCTATACAACTCTACCATCACTCCTTTAAGCCAGCTTTAACCAACTCTACCATCACTCTCTGTCAAAGGAATTACACTCCTGCACTAGGCTCAACCGCACAATGACAAACCTTTAATTACCTTAACCCATTTCCAGTAACCACACTAACAGGAAAACCTACTGTAAAAGTCACAGAAACATTCTGAAACTTCTCCCTCTTATTTCAACACATCATCAACTTAAAACTCCTCACATCATGTGGTTATTTGGTTAGCTTCTGAGTTTCACAGCCTGGGATATTATGTGACCCTATGATTGGAACTGATCCCTACCTCTACAGTTGATGGAGCTTCAGCTGTCTGACGATGCTCAGTATATTTTGTGGTTGCAGTAGTTTCACTATGCTGGCTCTGTACAGAACTGTAATGAAGCTCTTGAAGAAGATAGCTGAAATACCTCTTCCCACCCATGGCCTCAAGGACAATGTCTTCCAATATGAAGAAAGAGTTTTAACTTAATCTCCAAGACTCTTGTATCTACTGTGTGCTTCCAGTACTCTTGGTAGTTGAGTGTAGTTGATGAAGAGTGCTTCATGTGCCAGATGTACATAACTCATTCTGAAGTACAGATAGGATTACATGAAGTGAAGTTCTCATGTCCATGTTCAACATTTTGCTCTTGCAACAAGGACTATTTTCGATCTCCTTTAGTATAAATTATCTAATCCTTTTAAGTTTACCAGATCAAAGTCTAGTTAATCACAGGAATTAATTAACAAGCATATACAATTGATGCACAATACAAATATTTAGAATAAGAGCTCGGGGGAGGGGAAAGGCTGAGATATGTGATGTTTATACCAGAATGCAGTGTAACTGAAGTACATATGAGCACCTAAACTAGATCAGATAACAACATCAGCCATGCACAACCCATTTCTGCTGTGTATTGGGTGTCACAAAGGTCCCTTCAGTTGTGTATTGAATTTCATAGAGGTCCCTTCACTTGGGTGTTGGGTGTCACAAAGGACCCTCAGTTGGGTGTCACAGAGGTCCCTTCAGTTGGGTGTAACAGAGGTCTCTTGATCTGTGTATTGGGTATCACAAAGGTCCCTTCAGTTGAGTGTAACAGAGGTCTATTGATCTGTGTATTGGGTGTCACAAAGGTCCCTTCAGTTGATTGTAACAGAGGTCTCTTGATCTGTGTATTGGGTGTCACACAGTCCCTTCAGTGGGTGTAACAGAGGTCTCTTGATCTGTGTATTGGGTGTCACAAAGGTCCCTTCAGTTGAGTGTACAGAGGTCTCTTGATCTGTGTATTGGGTGTCACAAAGGTCCCTTCAGTTGGGTGACACAGAGGTCCCTTTATCTGTGTATTGGGTGTCACAGAGGTCCCTTCAGTTGGGTGTAAACAGAGGTCCCTTCATCTGTGTATTGGGTGTCACAAAGGTCCCTTCAGTTGGGTGTAACAGAGGTCTCTTCATCTGGGGATTGGGTATCACAGAGGTCCCTTCATCTGTGTATTGGGTGTCACAGAGATCCCTTCATATGGGTGATACAGAGGTCCTTCAGCTGTGTACTGGGTGTCACAGAGGTCCTTCAGCTGTGTATTGAGTGTCACAGAGGTCTCTTCATCTGTGTATTGGGTGTCACAGAGGTCCTTTCAGCTGTGTATTGGGTGTCACAGAGGTCCCTTCATCTGTGTATTGGGTGTCACAAAGGTCCCTTCATCTGTGTATTGGGTGTCACAGAGGTCCCTTCAGCTGTGTATTGGGTGTCACAAAGGTCCCTTCATCTGTGTATTGGGTGTCACAGAGGTCCTTTCAGCTGTGTCTTGGGTGTCACAAAGGTCCCTTCATCTGTGTATTGGGTGTCACAGAGGTCCTTTCAGCTGTGTCTTGGGTGTCACAAAGGTCCCTTCATCTGTGTATTGGGTGCCACAGAGGTCCCTTCATCTGTGTATTGGGTGACACAGAGGTCCCTTTAAATGTGTATTGGGTGTCACAGAGGTCCCTTCATCTGTGTATTGGGTGTCACAGAGGTCCCTTCATCTGTGTATTGGGTGTCACAGAGGTCCTTTCAGCTGTGTATTGGGTGCCACAGAGGTCCCTTCATCTGTGTATTGGGTGACACAGAGGTCCCTTTAAATGTGTATTGGGTGTCACAAAGGTCCCTTCATCTGTGTATTGGGTGTCACAGAGGTCCTTTCAGCTGTGTCTTGGGTGTCACAAAGGTCCCTTCATCAGTGTATTGGGTGTCTCAGAGGTCCCTTCAGCTGTGTATTGGGTGACACAGAGGTCCCTTTAACTGTGAATTGGCTGTCACTGAGGTCCTTTTAGCTGTGTATTGGATGTCTCAGAGGTCCGTTGTGTTCTGTATTGGGTGTAACAGAGGTCACTTCAGCTGTATATTGGGGGTCACAGAGGTCCTTCAGCTGTGTATTGGGTGTCACATAGGTCCCTTCATCTGTGTATTGGGTGTCACAAAGGTCCCTTCAACTGTGTATTGGGTGTCACAGAGGTCCTTCAGCTGTGTATTGGGTGTCACAGAGGTCCCTTCATCTGTGTATTGGGTGTCACAAAGGTCCCTTCAACTGTGTATTGGGTGTCACAGAGGTCCTTCAGCTGTGTATTGGGTGTCACAGAGGTCCTTCATCTGTGTATTGGGTGTCACAAAGGTCCCTTCAACTGTGTATTGGGTGTCACAGAGGTCCTTCAGCTGTATATTGGGGGTCACAGAGGTCCTTCAGCTGTGAATTAGGTGTCACATAGGTCCCTTCATCTGTGTATTGGGTGTCACAAAGGTCCCTTCAACTGTGTATTGGGTGTCACAGAGGTCCTTCAGCTGTGTATTGGGTGTCACAAAGGTCCCTTCGGCTGTGTATTGGGTGTCACAGAGGTCCTTCAGCTGTGTATTGGGTGTCACAAAGGTCCCTTCGGCTGTGTATTGGGTGTCACAAAGGGCCCTTCATCTGTGTATTGGGTGTCACTAAGGTCCCTTCAACTGTGTATTGGGTGTCACAAAGGTCCCTTCATCTGTGTATTGGGCATCACAGAGGTCCCTTCAGCTGTGTATTGGGTGTCACAGAGGTCCCTTCAGATGGGTGTCACAGAGGTCCCTTCAGCTGTGTAATGGGTGTCACAGAGGTTCCTTGTGCTGTGTGTAGTTGATAACACAGAGGCCCTTCACATGTGTGTTTGATATCATGGAGGCCCTTCTGATGGAAGTTGAGAATCCTGTAATTTTCTGTGTATGGAAGTTTGAAAAGAGTAGATCAGAAATGTTTTTAAACTCAAACTGGAAACGTGAATCAATCAATCATTGGATGAGGAAATCATGTATTAAATCACCTGCTCTTAAAACTACTGTCTGTCAATGTTTCTATTAGCGACATGTAAATTCCTAAATGCTGTCATCAAGCAACTGCTATTATTGGCATAAGGGGCTTATTAACCTGATGTAAAACTCCATATATGCATTACTAACATTTTAGAGGTATTGATATCTTGAGAAGTGCAGTTACTTTTATTAGGGTGTAAATTTCTTCTGAAGCCAAACGAGCATCAATACCTACAGGCCAAATTATTAAGACAGCCATAAATAACATGTTATGAGTTTGTATTTTTATTTACCCTTGGTTAATTTTCTGTATCAGTATTTATGAGGCAGTGCTATTATGAAGAGTTGATCCAGTGAGTTACGTGTGCATGATGCTCCCAGTATTGAGTTCCTGCCATACAATAACTGGTTATATACCCTGCATCAATGTCTGTATGGCAACTTATATCCCTTCGGTTGGCTTTCTGCAGTGTCCTGTCTTAGTTTGGCAGGGATTCCAGGTAGATGTTAGATAAGAAATATTAACACACGACATGATTGATATATGTGTTCTTGTAGCATGTCAAAATGCTTGATATATATTAAGAATGCTATAGCAGTTGCAGCATCAGTGAATTCATTCCATTTATTCACCATCATGCATCCACTCATCTGTAGCTATGGTAAATCAGAATGGTCTGATCATGTTACTCTCATTACATCAAGTCTCCAATATTCAGTAAGACGTATTTCATTGGCTGGTGACAAAACATAGCCAGTGTTTATCAGCTGAGTGTCAACAATATTATACAAGTATGTTATAACAGTAATATGGTACAGTTGCACTATGTAGTTTTATGAAGAAATTGATGAAAATCCTATAATTGTATGCACAGTTGAATGCACATGTATGTGCAGAGATATTCATGTATGTAAGCTGGAGCCTGGAGTAATGTCCAGATTTGCCATGTTGCACTATGACCCAAGATGTGATATATAGGTTATTGTTGTGTGCTATATTGGTGTATAAGTGCCTACTGTCCCTATTGCTATCTCTTCAGCTGGCCGAGTACTATCTGGTAAGTCTTGCTATTGTTCTGCAGCATGTGTAGATATTACTAGTCTTAAATAAATAAATAAATAAATAAATAAATAAATAAATAAATAAATAAATAAATAAATAAATAAATAAATAAATAAATAAATAAATAAATAAATAAATAAATAAATAAATAAATAAATAAATAAATAAATAAATGTTTTTGAAATAATTAATTATTCAAAAACAAAAATAATTAAATATTTAAAAATAAAATTAAGCATTTTAAAAAATCAATCAATTCTGGTCAACCTGCATCATATCACCTTCAGCTTGGAACTACCATTCTGAATGTTATAAGTCATGAGTTAGATGCATGACAAGTGAAGCATCAACATGACTAGTTGATGAAGTTAAATATTTAGATTATTAAGCATTTTGGAAGTCATTAATGACTCCTCAAAGGAAAGATCTAACATGAACCACATCACTAATTACAAGCTGAATTATTTTTGATTCAGAAAGTTCAACTTGTTTTTGTCACAGTTGTGAATTTCTAGAGCGAGGACTGTAATTATTGGAATAAGTCATGTTGATTATCCAATGCATATCAGGAGAAAGCTAAAATAAAGAGCAAATGATTATTGTAAAAGTCTTAATTTACATTTAAAAGATGATTATGTTGTGGCTAATTGATTTGGTTGGGCAGCTGAACACCTGCCCTTCTCCTGTTCATGTAATTGCCCTGAGAATGACTACACCACCTAGACCCATACTCCTCATTTTCAAATGTCAGAATCATGATAGTTCTCAAATCTCATCCAAGAAGGCAAGAAATAGAAATTTGTAATCAATAACACCAAGATAGCATTCTTAATGTTTAGTTGTTGTACTTACTGCTAGCTACTAATCTGAGACGCTAGATCCCACAATAGCTACATAATGTAAAGTGTCTAATACCCTGCAAGTATAATAATGGCCTAATGTGTCCTACTTGGAAACAGTGAATTTGTATAATGAATTTTATACAAAGCATCAGAGCCTATTCCTCTGCAATCTTAGTGCTAAGTTGATAAGTATCATATCTTAGTGTATGTTTACGATAGGAGAAGCGATATGAATCTTTGTGGAATCAGAAACTAAGTAGGTATATATTTGGATATATACAATGAGCAGTTGGTATATACAAGAAGGTATAACCATATTAGGCATGAATGTTGTAGAGTGACATAGAGCATGTTTGGTCATATATGAGTATATTGGGCTACACCAGGCCCAGTCATCTGAAGAGACTGCAATGTGTCGTGCAGAGTTGTGTCCCTTGGAAGTGCCTGAACCTTATGATCACTAGTTTGAATCATGGTTTGGGGTTTGTCCGCTCCATACAATGGGTTTTAATCAACATGGTGGTAAATATATAACACTTGCCTCATTTCGGACATTCCTATGTAGTTGACGCTCCAGTATGACTGAAATACTCTTCAGAGTGACATTAAACCCGACTCACTACCTGTTTAGGAAGTTTAGGCATAGTGAGTGAGTTGAGTTTTACGCCGCACTCAGCAATATTCCAGCTAGATGGCGGCGGTTGTTAGGCCTAGTTTCATCAGCAGGTGATATGAAGGAGATCAAGGTGGTAATCATGGTCACATTGTCACAGGAACTGCTCTGTTAAAAGAGAGGGTTTGTTCGGAGTAAATTTTAAGGATGTATAACTTTAAGTACTGAGGAACTTCGAACATGTATTTATTTTTGAAAGGTTTGAGATGTGTTAATCATCAAACATGGTGATTGAATTAATATGCATGCAAGCCGTAAGCCTGAATTTTCTTCAGGCACAGTTGGGTAGCCGAGTGGTATTTAATCTTTTGCTCATCACATTTCGAATCTCTATGTGAACACAATGTGTGGAGCCAATATCTGGTGTCCCCAGGTTTGATACAGCTGAAATATTGCAGGAAGTTGCATAAAACCATACCCTTTCACTCTGCAACATCATAGGGTCACTAAATGAAATGAAACTAAGATTAAAATTGTAAACATATCTTTAAATCTAATCTTTATACCCATGGTCAAATGAAAAAGAAAAGATTATTAATGGATAGAAAGTTGCTTTGTGCAGTGTTTCTGTGAAGCAGACAATGTTCGTGCTGTTCTGTGGAATATTTTCTTATTACTGACAAGAAATCTTTTGTGAAATTTTCATCTGCAAGCCAACAGAGCATTAACTTATGCCTCAATGTATTTTTATTCATGAATAGCAACTACAGATAAATCGATATGAGCATTTTTAAAAACATTCCACCATGATAATGGAAAATAAATATAAAATCCAGACCACATTGCTTCCAATAGGAAAATAACACAATAACACCCATCTGTCCCAGGCTTGTGATGCGCATTGCTGGAATATTGCTAAAAGCGGCATAAAACTTAACTCACTCACTCACTTATGATGTCCCAGTCCTTATAGCCAAGTTCTTGTACTGAGCCAATGCACGTCTAAAATATTATTTTTTTAGTTGAAACAAATGAAGATACACCCAATACAAGTGATGTAAAATGACACAAGTGAGTATGTTATATGGCTTTAATTTAAAACACAAAGTAATGCTTCTCCATTATGGTCTGTCAGCATTTGTTCCTTTAGAATTTTAAGGTAGTATCCCACCAATACGGTTTCAAACTTAGTTTAGGGATAACAGAACAATGATAACATACCTTAATATTCAAATCACAATATGATCATCTCCCAATATAAGGCTTTGAGAGTAATTTTGGGATCTGATCATGTTAGGATAAAAACTAATGAAGAATGTAGGTACTTCCCAGTATAAGCCAGTTAATGCATGAGTGCAGTTTGTGTAGAGGATGATGAAAACTTGCTTTGAAGGTGCATTGAACCAGTATTTGATCTGGTGACATTAAGTCATACCAGTGTCTGCCAGTAGATAACACGTTGTTAATCATCAGCCTGTTGTATAAGCCTCCATAACAACCTGCCAGATGAGGAAGCTGTGTAGATGCTCGTGTATCCTGTACAAGTAGTTCTAGCATTATTGTCCCTTTCACACCATGTGTGTAGACATGATATACAGATCCCTCACCTATGGAGTAAAGGTTTGTTTAGATTGAACATGGTGTGTTTTGAAAGACTGTTGTACGTTCTACTAAACATTGTTGGGCATGGCTTACTGATGGTGAAAGATTCTTGCCACCTGGTTCCGTGTTTCCTTGCACTCCTCTTTGACAGCTAGACTATGTGAACTAGCACTGCAGAAAGGCATCCTGTAACCATAGTGACCTAATATGGTTTTCTGCCAATGGTGTGGAACCTCCATTAACACTTGTGTCTGGTAGTTCTTCGGTCTTTGTTTGTACATGGGGCTGTTATGTGGCTATGTTGACTCGGACTCCACCTTCAATGGATGACTGTTGTTGTTTAACTAGAGACGATGGAAATTCAGTTTATTTGTATTTGTTGTGCTCCTATTTTTATATCATTGCTGTCTGTCATTGTATGAGTGTGTATGTTTGTCGACACATTTCAGATTGTTTGAGAAACTTTGTACAAGACACACACTGGAAACAAACACTAGTTTGCTCTTGCTTACTAAGCCTGGCATGTTGAATGTTGACAGACATTTGCCTCTGATGATGTCTTGAAAAGATTTCAAATGATGACTAACTGAACTGCAATTTCTTAAAACGTTTTTGAAACTATGATCAAATTAACTGTGTTCCCACATCCAGACACAAATATTTCAGGCAAAGTTGCACCCTACTTCATCTTTCTAAGATAGACAAAGTGACAAATGTATTTTTTGTTGTTGCAGTGTAAACAAATACTTGCTGTTTATAAATAAATAGTCCCTGTAAGTTTACCTGACAGCTATTGTCATCCATTGTCAGCTTGTCTGGGCAAAGCCCAGGTGAGCTTACATCATCATGATGATCAAGTGTTTGATGCTTGTCTATCATCGTCGTCTTCTCTGAAACCACTGGCCCTGTGATGCTGATACTCTCCAGTCTGAACATCAAGTGTTTGGTGCTTGTCTATCATCGTCGTCTTCTCTGAAACCACTGGCCCTGTGATGCTGATACTCTCCAGTCTGAACATCAAGTGTTTGGTGCTTGTCTATCATCGTCGTCTTCTCTGAAACCACTGGCCCTGTGATGCTGATACTCTCCAGTCTGAACATCAAGTGTTTGGTGCTTGTCTATCATCGTGATGCTGATACTCTCCAGTCTGAACATCTAGTGTTTGGTGCTTGTCTATCATCGTCGCCACTGGCCCTGTGATGCTGATACTAGTCATCAAGTGTTTGGTGCTTGTCTATCATCTCGAAACCACTGGCCCTGTGATGCTGATACACTCCAGTCTGAACATCAAGTGTTTGGTGCTTGTCTATCATCGTCATCTTCTCTGAAACCACTGGCCCTGTGATGCTGATACTCTCCAGTCTGAATCATCATCAGTGTTTGGTGCTTGTCTATCATCAAACCACTGGCCCTGTGATGCTGATACTCTCCAGTCTGAACATCAAGTGTTTGGTGCTTGTCTATCATCGTCCTCTGAAACCACTGGCCCTGTGATGCTGATACACTCCAGTCTGAACATCAAGTGTTTGGTGCTTGTCTATCATCGTCGTCTTCTCTGAAACCACTGGCCCTGTGATGCTGATACTCTCCAGTCTGAACATCTAAGTGTTTGGTGCTTGTCTATCATCGTCATCTTCTCTTCTCTGAAACCACTGGCCCTGTGATGCTGATACTCTCCAGTCTGAACATCAAGTGTTTGGTGCTTGTCTATCATCGTCTGTCTTCTGAAACCACTGGCCCTGTGATGCTGATACTCTCCAGTCTGAACATCAAGTGTTTGGTGCTTGTCTATCATCGTCGTCTTCTCTGAAACCACTGGCCCTGTGATGCTGATACTCTCCAGTCTGAACATCAAGTGTTTGGTGCTTGTCTATCATCGTCGTCTTCTCTGAAACCACTGGCCCTGTGATGCTGATACTCTCCAGTCTGAACATCAAGTGTTTGGTGCTTGTCTATCATCGTCGTCTTCTCTGAAACCACTGGCCCTGTGATGCTGATACTCTCCAGTCTGAACATCAAGTGTTTGGTGCTTGTCTATCATCGTCTTCTTCTCTGAAACCACTGGCCCTGTGATGCTGTGACTCTCCAGTCTGAACATCAAGTGTTTGGTGCTTGTCTATCATCGTCGTCTTCTCTGAAACCACTGGCCCTGTGATGCTGTGACTCTCCAGTCTGAACATCCATGTAAAATTCATCTGATGTACTACTCAAAAGAAATAAAAGAACTCCCTTATCAGTTTCACATGACTACAGGTAATCTGTCATGCCTGCAAGATTAACAATAGTCACAAATAATTAATATACCTGGTGATCTTTCATTTCTTGTAGTAGTACGTTTTTAAATAGTGATAATATTTGTGAAAATCATTGTACATTATCTTCTCCTCAAAGGCAACAAGGTGCAGAAAGCAAAAAGAAACATGCATGCAAATTTCAAGCAGTTTCAAATTTCAAATCAGTGTTAAGTTTTAGCAGTTGAATATGATCCTGGATCTCCCAGAACCCCAAGGAATTAAAACTGTATGTAAATGACAATAAACAAATCCTAATCAGCAAATATCATATTCAACATTTAGCTCAGGCCATTGTTGTAAAAAAGATGACTTTCCTTAACTAGTTTAGTTCATTGAATTCAAGAAGGTTTTTACATCTCCTTCTCAAATGGCACAAGTCCAAATAAATTGAAACTGTGAAAGTTTAACTTTGCAAGTGGAAGCAATGTTAGATATTACTTCTGAAATTGTTGTAGATACAACAGTGTTGTTGCAGTTTGTTTATTTATATATTTGTTTATACAGAAAGTAAGGAAATGTTGCATCAAAGATTATCACTTCTGATGATAAAACAGTTTTAATTTTGGTGAGTTTTCTGAAGGGCATGGATAGATATATATAGGCATGGATGGTCTTATGAAGCATATAACATCCATCCATCCATCTGTCCATCCATCCACACACACATGAGCTACAGTGCCATTGAGCTGACTTTCTTTTGAAGTTCTACATGATGTATCAATGAAATATACTTGTCATCCAACCACAACTCAACTCAACCCAAATATTGCTGGAACAATGCTGATGTGATGCAACACTCAACTGTCATCCACCCAAAACAGTTTGAAAGAAGAGCATATGTGAAGATATGGAGGCAGATTTAATTAAGTTTTTATGAAAGTGTACATTTTATTTTTTTGTTTTGTTGTTGGCATTTTTAAAATTCTTTTGAAAAATATACGTTTGAAGATTAACATTCCTGGCTTTGATTTCATCTGTGGAATCACCTCAAGCGCAGTTTGTGAATACAAACATGGCTACTAAAGGCAGCTGCTGTTTCCTCCTCTGCCAAAGTGCTATCTGATTAGAGGAATTGGCTAAGCACAAAATAATGGGTGAAAACGACCCTATGTTCAGTGCTGACTCCGATAAATATGATAGCATGATAGTTCTGTAGAACACAGGGACCATTTTATTTCATCACCAGCTTTTAAATCAATCTAAAAGTTGTTTATAGTTCACAGTTAGATTACCATCAAAACACCGAGTTCATTGTGACATGGTATTTGATTTGTTCCTTTTCCAGATTCCTTATGAATACATGAATACATTTATTCACAGATGCATTCATTTAATCATGAATTCTATTATTCCCTGCCTTGCAACAGAAAATACAAATGCATTTTGAATGATTTTCTTTTCAGGAAATATTTTTAGTAACATTCTTTGGCCTGGAGTACGCAATCCGCCTGTGGTCCGCAGGATGCAGAAGCAAATACATGGGGCTGAAAGGACGGATCCGCTTTGCCAGGAAGCCCATCTCCATCATAGGTAAGTCCAGCTTCTTGTTAATAGTATGGTACATGCGGTTTTGAAAGATTTACCCAAAACATCAATCTACAGTGGTTTGACAATGGCCACAAATAATTTTCTTCTAAAGTCAAATTTGACATGTTGGTTTTGCTTGTTGTTGAACCTGTTGTTGAACCCCTGATCCTGAAACAATTAAGTGTCTCTGTCTCAGAACTTCCCCTGATCTACCAAACAGTGTCTCTGTATACAGACCTCCCCTGATCCATCAAACAGTGTCTCTGTATACAGACCTCCCCCTGATCCATCAAACAGTGTCTCTGTCTCAGAACTTCCCCTGATCCACCAAACAGTGTCTCTGTATACAGAACTCCCCTGACCCATCAAACAGTGTCTCTGTCTCAGAACTTCCCCTGATCCACCAAACAGTGTCTCTGTGCACAGACCTCTCCAGGTCCACCAAACAGTGTCTCTGTACATAGACCTTCCCCCTGATCCACCAAACAGTGTCTCTGTACACAGACCTTCCCCCTGATCCACCAAACAGTGTCTCTGTGCACAGACCTCTCCATAGTCCACCAAACAGTGGTCCATCCAAAACAGTGTCTCTGTACACAGACCTTCCCCTGATCCACCAAACAGTGTCTCTGTACACAGACCTTCCCCTGATCCACCAAACAGTGTCTCTGTACACAGACCTCCCCCTGATCCACCAAACAGTGTCTCTGTACACAGACCTCCCCTGATCCACCAAACAGTGTCTCTGTACACAGACCTCCCCATTCACCAAACAGTGTCTCTGTACACAGACCTCACAGATCTTCCTGAGCCATCAAACAGAGCCATCAAACAGTGTCTCTGTACACAGACCTTCCCCTGATCCATCAAACAGTGTCTCTGTACACAGATCTTCCCCTGATTCACCTCTCCCTGTTCACACAGACCTCCCCTTAATAAAACAGTGTCTCTGTACACAGACCTCCCTTTAAATCAAACAGTGTCTCTGTACACAGACCTTCCCCTGATCCATCAAACAGTGTCTCTGTAAACAGATCTCCCCTGATTCACCAAACAGTGTCTCTGTACACAGACCTTCCCCTGATCCATCAAACAGTGTCTCTGTACACAGATCTTCCCCTGATTCACCAAACAGTGTCTCTGTACACAGACCTTCCCCTGAGCCATCAAACAGTGTCTCTGTACACAGATCTTCCCCTGATTCACCAAACAGTGTCTCTGTACACAGACCTTCCCCCTGAGCCATCAAACAGTGTCTCTGCATGCAAAGCTTTCCTCCTGATCCCCCTAACAGTGTGTCTGCAATTCTGCAGTGTTATTTCTTGCAGCCTCAAATGGATTACTTGAAGAATTTAGTTTTTAGAATTTACAAATAAAAACAGCTGGTAAAGGGTTAAACTTCAACTAGGAAAATACATTCTTTATATGAATCCTTGTCCAGCATACCAAGTGTTGTAAAGGCCTGCCCAAGGGACATTCCTGCAGTGAAAGTATTGATGGCTTGATGAGAATAAATCAGTGTCACGTTAAAATATCATTTACTGAGATGGAAACTGTCCTGGACTGTCAAAAATATAAAATGATTTAGAACAAGTGTAATACAATGAGAGACTAGTATTCCTCAAGTTCTATCCATAATGGACCTACATTTCAAGTGTTGACTGCAGCAGGCAATGTATGCACCATAGAAAGACATTATCTTTAAGGTCTGACAAGAAATACAGGAGATGGTCATTTAGATATATGTAAGGTGCTGGTCGATGCGAACACATTACTAGTGGAACAGTTGTATAGCCAGTGTCTTGCAGTGGATAGGTAATATGAAGTCAGTCACCTGGGTTCATGTCTTTAGAACATAACTGTTGGCACATTGATGTCAAGAGCAGCAGGAAAATAATCTGAAGGTTCCCAGTCAGGTTTTTCAAGTAGATGAGGAGGGTCAGTTTTATTCTAGGCTAAAATCAAAGCAAGACAAATCAGCTCATGTTCTAGTTAAATTAGAATGTTCTGTATCAACTGAGTCTGGACCAGACAGTCCAGTGATATGAGCAACCATTCACATCATCGGGATCAATGACATGCCACAAAGTAACCAAGCTTAAGCCAACTTACGTACACGCGTACACACACATAAATACATGAACGTGTACACACACATAAATACATGAACGCATACACACACATAAATACATGAACACATACACACACATAAATACATGAACACGTACACACATAAATACATAAATACATAAATACGAACCGCATACACACACATAAATACATGAACACATACACACACATAAATACATGAACACGTACACACACATAAATACATGAACACATACACACACATAAATACATGAACACATACACACACATAAATACATGAACACGTACACACACATAAATACATGATACACACAAAATACATGAACACATACACACATACGAACACATAAATACATGAACCATACATGAACACAAATACATAAATACATGAACACACACATACACATAAATGCATGAACACGTACACACACATAAATACATGAACACACACATAAATACATGAACACGCCACACACACATAAATACATGAACACATGAACACACACATAAATAATGAACACATACACACACATAAATACATGAACACATACACACACACATACACATACATGAACACATGCACACATAAATGCATGAACCGCATTACACACACACATAAATACATGAACACGCACACACACATAAATGCACAACACATAACATAAATACATGAACACGCATACATACACATAAATGCATGAACACGTACACACACATACGCATAAATACATGAACACATACACATGAACACAGACGCACACACACATAAATACATGAACACATACACACACATAAATACATGAACACATACACACACATAAATACATGAACACATACACACACATAAATACATGAACACGTACACACACATAAATACATGAACACATACACACACATAAATACATGAACACATACACACACATAAATACATGAACACATACACACACATAAATACATGAACACATACACACACATAAATACATGAACACGTACACACACATAAATACATGAACACATACACACACATAAATACATGAACACATGCATGAACACACACACATAAATACATGAACACATACACACACATAAATACATGAACACATACACACACATAAATACATGAACACGTACACACACATAAATACATGAACACATACACACACATAAATACATGAACACATACACACACATAAATACATGAACACATAAATACATGAACACATACACATAAATACATGAACACATACACACACATAAATACATGAACACACATACATACACATAAATACATGAACACACATATGCACATAAATACATGAACACATAGATACATAAATACATGAACACATACACACACATAAATACATGAACACATACACACATAAATGCATGAACACATACACACACATAAATACATGAACACATACACACACATAAATACATGAACACATACACACACATAAATACATGAACACATACACACACATAAATACATGAACACATACACACACATAAATACATGAACACATACACACACATAAATACATGAACACATAAATACATGAACATAAAATACATGAACACATACACACACATAAATGCATGAACACATACATACATGCATAAATACATGAACACATAGATGCATACACATAAAATACATGAACACGTGCACACACATAAATACATGAACACACACACACATAAATACAACAACGTTACACACATAAATACATGAACACACACACATAAATACATGAGGCCACAACAGTGTCACAGTAGTATCCTCACTTCATTTGGCTCCTGGAAACAATAATTAGTAAAAACAGGATTCTTCTTCTCCATACTGTGTACTGAAGGTGAGCTACCAACCTGTTTCAGTTGTGTTCCTCGAGTGACTGGAAAACATGCAGCCAATGTGACAGATTAGGGTTAATTATTGTTGTTCAGGGACATGATTTGTAATAAATCAAGAAAGGACTGTTAACTTTGTTTCTTCACGGGTTTCCAGTAGACATTCATTTGAGCCAGCCTTTGCATAATTTGTCACATCAGCTTAGGGGCTGGTAAACGTACTCCTGCCCTTGATGCCGGATGTGCTTTCTGTGTTTACATGTGTCACAGAAAGAATAACTGTATTCAGTGTACATCTTAATAGACACGAAGAGGAAATTAGAGGCAATACATGTCACAGAGTGAATAATCTTGTGTGATGTTTTTATAAAGTGTTTGGGCAAATCAATACCGAAAATCACATTTCTGTGCAAGATTGCCAATGTGATTTCACATTTCCCTGAACCTCTGGGCGATTACTTTTTGTCTCCCCTTTGTGGTCATTTTTTCTCAGTATTGATTGAGTTTGGCAAAAAGAATCCCTTGTCACTTCAGTGGAAGGCTGGCAACCCAAGGTGAAGGTCATCCTCCTCATCTCTGATATTTCACTCAATCATCAGGAGGGGTCTCATACCAACTTTTAATCAAATGTCATAGTTATATTGATTAAATGCAAATTATAATATGTCTTGTATGTCATGTGGCAATAAAATAGGAAAGCAGAGAAAAGATTCAATGTTCTTTATAACTCGCCTAAATGTCTGATGTTATCGCTTGTATGATCCATCCGGCAACCATCGTCTTCAAACTGTTTACTTAAAACAAATGTCCTTTCATTAAGTGAAGATAGTCATGTGAAATATCCCTTACACTTCCCTTCCAAGAGAAATAATTTATTGCCTTTCCAGTGTTGATATATAAACCAAGGTATTTTACTGTCGTCTTTGAATGGCATTTAGAAGTGATACACATAAAAGGTGAAAGTTTATGGAAGTCAACTACTTTATTACAAGGAACATGACAGTTCAGAGTATTTTCTTACTAATTCATCAGCTGAATGCAAAACTAGGAAGCAACTATCTATAAAAGTACATGTACAACAGTGATAAGCTTGACTTTATTACAAGGAACATGACAGTTCAGGCATAAATAGAGTATTTGATAACATGGACTGGTCATAGTGAAGACATGGAAGCCAGCACAGATAATTAAATTAATAAGTCATCATGTCTAGCTGGTTGGTATCTCCTGATGGCTGGTTGGTATCTCCTGATCCTGATGCTATGACCTCTTGTAGCTTCCTTGGTTATGGTCTGTAGCTGGTTGGTATCTCCTGATGGCTATGACCTCTTGTAGCTTCCTTGGTTATGGTCTCTAGCTGGTTGGTATCTCCTGATGGCTATGACCTCTTGTAGCTTCCTTGGTTATGGTCTGTAGCTGGTTGGTATCTCCTGATGGCTATGACCTCTTGGTAGCTTCCCTGGTTATGGTCTCTAGCTGGTTGGTATCTCCTGATGGCTATGACCTCTTGTAGCTTCCTTGGTTATGGTCTGTAGCTGGTTGGTATCTCCTGATGGCTATGACCTCTTGTAGCTTCCTTGGTTATGGTCTCTAGCTGGTTGGTATCTCCTGATGGCTATGACCTCTTGTAGCTTCCTTGGTTATGGTCTGTAGCTGGTTGGTATCTCCTGATGGCTATGACCTCTTGTAGCTTCCTTGGTTATGGTCTGTAGCTGGTTGGTATCTCCTGATGGCTATGACCTCTTGTAGCTTCCCTGGTTATGGTCTGTAGCTGGTTGGTATCTCCTGATGGCTATGACCTCTTGTAGCTTCCTTGGTTATGGTCTGTAGCTGGTTGGTATCTCCTGATGGCTATGACCTCTTGTAGCTTCCTTGGTTATGGTCTCTAGCTGGTTGGTATCTCCTGATGGCTATGACCTCTTGTAGCTTCCTTGGTTATGGTCTGTAGCTGGTTGGTATCTCCTGATGGCTATGACCTCTTGTAGCTTCCTTGGTTATCATGTCTCTAGCTGGTTGGTATCTCCTGATGGCTATGACCTCTTGTAGCTTCCTTGGTTATGGTCTGTAGCTGGTTGGTATCTCCTGATGGCTATGACCTCTTGTAGCTTCCTTGGTTATGGTCTGTAGCTGGTTGGTATCTCCTGATGGCTATGACCTCTTGTAGCTTCCCTGGTTATGGTCTCTAGCTGGTTGGTATCTCCTGATGGCTATGACCTCTTGTAGCTTCCTTGGACATACTTGTTGTTGGTGGACAGGAAAGTGGCTTCACACATGATGGCATGGTCTTGGTTCTTGCTGATGTGTTCGGAAAATGGCAGATTTCAGGTTGAGTTTGTGGACAGATGTCTGGTGTTATTGAAGTCTGGTGGTGGAGGGTTTAAGGGTTTCACCAATGTATGTGTCACCACAACTGTTGGGGGATTGAGCTGCTGGTGTCTCTGCCACTGGCATGCAGGCGAGTCTTGAGAGTCTTGCTTCTAGTGTAGGTGACATCTATATTGGCTTTGTTCTTCACAAAACTTCTAAAGCCTGTGGGTCATGATGGCATTTCTTTCATTTTGAATATAGTGTATAAGTATTATGTACTTTGGATCTGTTTGGCCTTTCTTTGTCCTTATGTTCATCCTTGGGAAGATGAGGGTTAGAATTCAGCAGCCCATGCTTGTTTTAAGCGGTAACTAACTGGTGACATGGTTTACACATGGTTCACACATGGTTTACACATGGTTTACACATGTCATCATGTTCCAGTTGAGGACATTCATAGTCTTGATGTCAATTACTGGATTATCTGATCCAGACTCGATTATCTAATTCATATGGCTGGAATATTGGTGAGTGTAGCATTAAACAGCCCACAAAGTGCCTTTCAGCATCTCAAAAACAAGTTCATTTCAAAGTATATGATTCAGATTTAAGTTTACCAGTACATAATGGGCTCATGAAAGATTAGAATGCTCCAATTTTATATATTTCCACTGTTGAAAACCATTTTCAAAAAAACAAATTTATTTGTCGGTTGAGTTGATGTTTGTTGTTTAACACCACACTCAGCAATATGGCTGGAAATAGTTGAGGCTGAACCAGACAATCCAGTGTTCAAATTATGATCATTGATCTACGCAATTGGGATATGATGACATATGTCAACCAATTCACAGTAGTTCTGAGAAATTGATCAGTGTGGTCTCATGTCAGTTTTAGTCTTATCAGTTTGGGCAGTTTATTCGTAATACAGGATAACTTCTATGTTTGGTGGTAGTTTTCCCCATATCATATTTTAACATGTTCTATTTATATTCTACTCAAAATTGATCCAGTTCCCAGTGGAACGTACATTACACTATATGTATTGAAGTTAATCTGCGGAGTTGCTACAACACCTGCAATGAACTGTGCACATGCACACACGCATGCACGCAGTGGAAGCACACACACACACATTCTCAAACAGCTGTATCCGCCCCTGTAAAGGTATGACAACTACTATCATAAGATGGATCAAAAGAGGATTAAGTAAAGTTATTTGTGAAAATGTGTACATGTATTATACAATAAACAAGAACAGGTTACTGTGGTTTGAAGATTTATGTTTTTCATATTGTGTTTTTTCAGATTTGATGGTTGTGGTGGCGTCATGTGTGGTGTTTACAATTGGATCTGAAGGCCAGGTGTTTGCCACATCAGCAATAAGGTGAGTTTGCAATCAGATCTGAAGGAACATTCTTTGCCACACCAGCCATATGGTGAGTTTAAAATCAGATGTGAAGGCCTGGGCCTAGATTTTCGAAGCTCTCTTAGTGCTAAGATAGTCGTAAGTTAATGTTATGCATGGCACTTATGACTATCTTAGCGCTAAGAGTGCTTCGAAAATCTAAGCCCAGGTGATTGCCACATCAGCAACTAGGTGAGTTTGCAATCAGATCTGAAGAAACATTCTTTGCCACACCAGCCATATGGTGAGTTTGCAATCAGATCTGAAGGAACATTCTTTGCCACACCAGCCATAAGGTGAGTTTAAAATCAGATGTGAAGGAACATTCTTTGCCACATCAGTCATATGGTGAGTTTAAAATCAGATGTGAAAGCAAGGTGTTTGCCACACCAGCCATAAGGTAAGTTTAAAATCAGATGTGAAGGCCAGGTGTTTGCCACATCAGCAATAAGGTGAGTTTACCAGTGCCACAACAACCGACTCAAACCAACATGAAATATTCAGAGCTCCAGATATGCTTGTGCTTATTTTGTTAGTTTACCCATGGTTTTGATTTTGATTGGGTATCCATAATTAATATTTTATGCACTAACTAGGCATAATGTGGTTTTCAGTTGGAATCAGTCAATATTCAAGTTTCTTTGTCACACATTTTAGCTGATGTAACTTTCAGTAAATGAGTTTGTGGTTGTGGTACACAATCGTTTTATCATAGGATTCTGGTAAACGTTTGACTTCAGTATCATATTTTATATTATTTTTGTTGCAATTGCATATTTGATATTCCAATATTTGAGATGTCAGCATGTTTAAAGTTTAATGCATATTTTACTGAAATATATAGCTTATCTAGACCTCTGCATAGTGATAGGCAATAAGAAATACTTGTTTCAGGCAACACTACTTAGATATGGTTAGCAATCTCCAACCAGTTTGGTGATTATGTTTAATCATTGAGCAAAAGAATTTAACATGAATCCTTTGTCCTTTGCTAATCTGCCCAATAAGATAAAATAACTTAATGACTAGTAGAAGTATATAGTTTAGAACAAATGTTGCAATTATGCAGACATAAAGTGGACAATAGATATGAGTGGCAATCATCATCATTATGGGGTGGTGTGCGATCCTGTGCATAGAGCTCAGGTGGCAAATCAGTTGAAGTTAAGTTCAACCATATTGCATATCGTGAAAGGTTAAAACATGAAGCCAAAGCGTCCTTGGATGGGTGACTGTATTTGGCAGCTTGACGCCTAAGCATTTCTAGGACTTCAGTCCTGCCCCACAACGAAGCACATGTGATGCATGTGGTCTCACCATAGGCAAGTGAGTTTGTTCAAAATTGCCTCTGTTCACCCAGCAGAAAATGGGTACCTGGTGGGATAAGTCATGACTATTAAGCTTCTAACACCTCAGGGGTAGCTTGGGTAAGCAGATAATAATAATCAGATTGTGATTTCAGTGCCATTGAGCACTGTATGTGGAAAGTAGGCGCTATACAAATCCATTATTATTATATTATTATGTGTCGTTTATATTTAAAGACCTATACCATTAAGTAGGCATCTTCAATGAGGCTGTATCAATGACAAGTGTACCTCTGGTTTTTACTACAGCCAATATGTAGGATGTCTTGTATGACCTTTAGAATCCAGTGTTGGAAATTTTCCAGAAGAATATGGTGAGCTACAGAATCTCATGGCTCTTCTACAGGTGTGTGTCTTCAGGGATATACAGAGACGTGTTGCTCAGAACCCCCCAGTGTCCAGCAAATGTCAACAAGATTCCCAAAGTTGGAATTAAACCTTTCCCAGTTCATGCTGTAATAGTTTAAACAATGTTAATTCCTTCCAGTGTCACTTGTACTTAATTTAACTGATGACAGGACCATTACAACAGAAATATTAATGCTTTAATATTTATAATTGCATCAAATTTAATGTTAAGTTATCTTCGAAATTATTAATATGAAACATGAAACCTAATTTTGAACAAAATAACATTTATTTATTTCTGCAATTTGCCAAACAAGCACATAGTCTGGAATCCAAGATGACACCCTTCTACTGGTATATTGTGGTCAAGTCAAACTAGGTTGTCTGTCAAGGACTATATATATACTACTCACACTTTGCTAAGGATCACAAAAATTCACAACTTTACTTAAACGTAGATTTATAATTTGAAATTGTATCCATTTAAAACTTGATAAATAATAATATGATAACCCCTCTTCAGACAAACAACCACTGTAATCTAACTTTATGGACTTGATACATGAGTAACCATAGAAATTGTTTTCATGGCACTAATCAACCATTTTGCAAATCATGGAACGAGTCATTGACAAGTACACAACACCTGTCAATAGCAGGTATGGGATCCACAAAATGAAATGATATACTGAAGCCTAGGATCCATGCTTACAATAAGCTTAGATATTTAAACCAAATTTGACCACACATCATAATTTTCTGTTGAATACATGATTTGATCCTTAGCAAAATGTGAATAGCATATGTCATTGTGTGCATATCTTGACAATCTCCATCTGTGTGTATCATTGTAGGGTTGTAAAATAGCCATGATGTTCTGATAACAGTACTTGATGGATGAACCTTTCCATCTGCTTGAGGCACAAATACAGCAATCTCTACATCACAGTACTAACATATTATTGGTTTTGGGATGTCTTGGGAATCTTAAAGCATTGCAACTAAGGAAATTTATAAAATTAATTTTTAGCAGATGTCATTCATTTAATTCTAGGTCAGAAATTGTTTTCATTTGACAGTTTATGAACACATTAAAACTATTGTCAAACAGCTTTAAGTCACAGATAGAAATAACTCATTTAATTAATGAGTATATAGAAATTCTGATAATGTTGATGCTATCTATACTTTTAAAACATTAAAATGTCTAATTCTTGAGATATTTTCAATGAGTTTTGACATTTGTGCATATTAGTCTTTTAAACAATGTTGTTAAACTAAAATTAGGGGTTAGTCCATTTTGGGTTGATGTTATTTGGGAACCAACTTGTAGGATTGTATATGGGTTTATAACATTATTATTCCATTGACATGTTATGAATTTCATGCACACAGGCGAATTTCATGTAAGCATTTTTCATGATATGCAGATGAACTTGAAATTTACAGTAAAATGTGTCAATGTGTTGCTGCATGCCAGGACATCTGTCACAACAGGAACAGCAATGGGCAATTGGCATGTTGGAAGGTGGAACAAGATAGAGCACTGACAGGAGCCTCAAGTCAGTAATTAGTAGATTACAAACATGATATCGACTGACAAGTCATGTTGATGACAAAGGTCGATCTGGTTGACCAAGGGTGTCAACTGGCGCACAAGACCGTTTCATCAGAACAACTGTGTTATGAAACCGTGGTCAAAGTGTCTTTCAATTTGGAGATGAGCTTCACAGAGCTACAGGTGTTAGAGTGAGCTGACAGACCATTCGTAATCGGCTACACAGATGGGACGTGCATGCTCAACATCCAAGTGTTATCCCACAACTCAAGGATCGTCACATTACTGCAAGACCTTGTTGGTGGCTTGAGTGGCAGTGTTGAACCAATCATTGTGTTGGGCAACGTTATGTTTTCACATGAATCAAGGTCTGTTGTGGACTTCCTTGACAAGTGCACCAGTGTGTGAAATACACAGAAAGGGCCATTCCATGCTGTAATTGTTTGAACGATTATTTTGGGGCCCGCTCAGTAATGGCTAAGTAAGTGAGTCAGATCACTGTGAATGACACCTTTTCATTGATGTGTTACTGGTCAGTACTACTCTGACAACATCTTGGAGGCACATTTGGTGCCATCTGTGCACCGACACAAACAGTGTTTTGTGTTCCATGATGTGTTTTGTGTTCCAAGAATGCACATAGCTCATATTGTGACTGAGTACCTCCAACAGGAGAACATAACCGCCAGAACTCAGTCCAGACTTGTCACTCATCGGACATTGGTCGACACATACGTTGCCATCAACAGGCAACAACCAGTTTTAACGAAGTTGGTGCTGCTTTGTAGCAGGAATGGCATGGAATTAACCAAGTTGACATTCGATGCATGATTAGGAGTATACCTTGTTGAATGTAGGATTGCCTTGAGAAAAGAGGTGGATTCACAGGATGTAAGGGGCGGTGGGGTAGCCTAGTGGCTAAAGCGTTCGCTTGTCACGCCGAAGACCCGGGTTCGATTCTCCACATGGGTACAATGCGTGAAGCCCATTTCTGGTGTCCCCCGCCGTGATATTGCTGGAATATTGCTAAAATGGCGTAAAACCATACTCACTCACTTACTCACAGGATATAAAGAGTTTGACATGGTAAATGATAGACAGTAGGACAGTGTGGCCAATCATCTGAGAGATTTGATGGTCATCTGACATTCAACGACTAATGTAAATCTCAGCCAGATGGCCCTGTTACTCTGTCAAACTATTGATCTCACTGAAGATATTTAATATTGATAACTGTGACACTTTTATATTGAATATTCCCTGCTTTTTTTAATAGCATAAAATTAAGATAGCCAAAGATTTCTTGTCAGGCTAACTCAAGATAACAGTAATTAGATTGAAAAAATATTGCCACAACATCTTGTCTCCTGAGTTCTTCATTGTCACCAATTATGGTTTGAGGAAACACCATTGTTTCCCAAATGAGATATCCTGGGTGTGCATGCTGTGTTTGGCTTGACAGTGCCCACAGGAGGCCATATTAGCCTTAATGGTATGATGTGCCACCAACGTTTCATCAGTCTCCGTCCCCTCCCTTAGCAGCATCAGCACCATCATTACACAGCTGTCATCAGGTGGCCACAGATCAGGCAATTCATTAATCTTAGTATATTTCTGGTGACTGTCCTTGTCACATCTTTGATGCTGTTTGATGTATGTCTGACAGGAAACAGTTGTCGCAGCAGGTTAGGGGTGTAACCAGATGC